CTACATGACAAGTCTTGATTGTCATTTTTTCCCCTTACCCCTGCCCTCCCTTCACACCATTTCACGTTTCTATAAACAGTGTAGAGTTCTATCTTTTCCACATCTTTGCCCAACACTCATCTTTTTTAAAACTATGACTTAGCCATCCTAATAGGTATAAGGTAGTATCCTGTGATGTTTTTATTTATCCCCATAATTAGTAATGCCAAGCACATTTTCATGTCCCTTGACCATTTCTGTGTTTCTTGGGGGAAATGCTTATTCAAGTCTTTTGCCCATTTTAATAGGGTTATTTGTTTCTGTGCTGAATAATATATGACATGTCTTACATATTTTGGAAATTAATTACTTATCAAATATATTATTTGCAATTAGTTCTCCCATTTATGGCTTGTCTTTTCACTTGTTTCATTCATGATACAAAATCTTTTTAATTTGATGTAATTCTCCTGTCTATGTGTGCTTTAGTTGCTTGTGATTTTAGTGTCATTTCCATGAAATCATGGTCAAGATCAATTTTATGAAACTTTTCCTCTACATTTTCTTACAAAAGGTACAGTTTCAGATATTAAAGTCTTAATTCATTTTTGGTTGATTTGTGGGTAGAAGCCAGTGTTAGTTACTTTTCTCTCTTTGCTGAGACGAAATACCTGACACCCAAAGCGGAAGGGGAAGGTGTTTATTCGGCTCACGGCTTGTAGAGGTTTCAGGCCGTATTTGGCTGGCTCCAAGGCTGGGATGGCGAACAGGCATCACAGAGGAGAAACAACATGGCGGCAAAGGTAACAAGAGGAACTTCACCATGTCTTTCTGCCCCTCTTATCCCAACCAGGCTTCCAGAATTAGTGTGTTGCTAAACCATTCACTCACCTGCACTGGTTTACTCATCACATGCCCTTAATCCCAGCATCACACCTTCCAGATTCAGTCACCTGTGACCAAATGAGGCTTTGGGGGGACATCCAGATGCAAGCCATAACAGAGTTCAATCTTTCTGTTTTGCAATGAATAGCCAGTTTCCCCAACATTTCAATGAACTGTTTTTCCTCATTATGCATTCTTGAAGCCCTTCTCAAACATCAGTTGACTGAATATGTTGACTTATTTCTAGTCTATTCTATTGATCTATGCATCTGCCTTTATGCCAGTGTCATACTGATTTAATAACTATGGTTTTAAAATATATTTTCAATTAGAGATTTTTACATCTCAATGTTGGCTCTTTTTCAAAATCTCTTTGTCTAATTCTGGGCCTTTCACTGTACCATATGGATTTTAGGACTGTTTTATGTATCTCAAGAAATACTATTGGGTATTTTATGACAGAAAGTGAATCTGTAAATTGGGGTAGTATGAGCATTTTAACAATATTAATTCATCTAATGCACCAACATGGCATGCTCTTGCATTGTATTTGTATGTTCTTTAATTTCTTTCATCAACAATATTCTAGTCAATTTATAAGTCTTTCACTTCTTTTGTTGAATTTATTCCTATGTACCTCTTTATATTATTGTAAATTGATGTTTTTCTTAGTTTCCTTTCAGGTAGTTTGTAGTTAGTACCTAGAAATGCAACTGAATTTTTGTATGTTAACTTTGAATCTTGTATCTTTACTGAACTCATTTATTAATTCTCAGTTTTTCTGTGGGGCTTGCTATGTATAAAGTCATGTCATCTTCAAACAAACAGTTTTACTTCTTCCTTTCTAAATTGATTGATTTTGTTTTGTTTTGTTTGTTTTTGAGACAGGGTCTCACGCTGTAGTTGAGACTGACCTGGAACTCACTATGTAGCCCAGGCTGGTCTTGAACTCACAGTGATCCTCCTGCCTCAGCCTCCCCAGTGCTGGGATTACAGGCATGCACTCAGCCTAAATTGGTTGATTGTTTCTTCTGCTTGATGAATTGCTCTGGCTAAAACTTTAAGTTCTGTATTGAATGGAAGTTACAAAAGCTTTGTTTCTAAGATCAGGAACAAGACAAGGATACTCGGTACTATTCACCTATAGGGCTTCTTTTGTTTGTTTCTGTTTTGTAGTGTCTTTGTCAGGCTTTACTATCAGGATAATGTTGGCCTTCAAAAGTGTTCTATCATTATTATATCCTTCCTTCTTTTAATTTTTGACTTTGTTCTTTTCTAGTTCTTGAGATGCAAGAGGTTGTTTATTTGAGATCTTTTCTAATATAGACATTTATCAATATGAATTTTTAGTACTGCCTTTACTGCAATCCATAAATTTTGGTATGTTTTTTCATTTCTCTTTGAATTTCTTTTTGACCCATTGGGTAATCGTGAATGTGTTATTTCAAGTCTACAGTTTTGTGAATTTTCCTTCAGTTATGAATTTTAAGCTCATACATTTCTGGTCAGAGAAAATACTTTGTATATTTTAAAACTTAAATTTGTGAAGAATTTTTATTTGTCTAAATATGAATTCTATTTTAGAGAATGTTGCATGTGTACTTGAAAAGAATATGTATTTTTTGGCTGTTGAGTAGAATATTCCATTATGTCTATTTGGCCTGCTGTTTCCTCATTGATTTTCTGTTTGGGTAGCCTATCAGTGGTTGAAAGTTGGGTTTCTTTTAGAAAATATTTTTGATGTGTTGTAAAATAAATATATTTTAATCGTGTGAGGAGACATGCAGACACAGAAATAATCATGAAGGAAGAAGTTTGTACTCACAGTTCCCTAGAAGAAGAAGGCCCTGCATCCCATACAGGACCAGAGAGGAAGCACCAGGATCAATCCAGAGCAGAAGGAGTGAGGGGAAAGCACTGCAATCCCTGTGGAAACTGACAGTCCACAGAGGTTTAGTATTGGCTAATTTGAATAATTTCAATAAGCTCCTAGGTGTAGGTGCTTCCCCCAGCTGTTTGATACCCACCCCTGGGAGTGATTCAAACAAGGAAATGTGAGAGCCCAATAAAGGGGGTGTTTAGGAGGCATGGCTGTGGGTTGGCTTATTTGTATATGACAGGAGCACTTGTAGATGAGTCCTTTATTAATTTTAGGAAATGGCTAGTTCTCAGAGGGGAAGTTTGCCCGAGGTCAGCAAGACCCAGATGTCAAAACAGCATAAAATGTAGAAAAACTTTAAAAACATTAATATATATGTTAGATCTCAATGACATCCATTTTTAAAACATTTTTAATATTGGTATCTCTTTTCCTTTATTATTCTTGCTCAGAATTTTTCAATTTTAAAACTCTTTTCAAAGAACAAACTTTTGTGCACTAACACATCCTTAACTTTTTATAGCACAATTAATGAGCACCTAAGTTCCATCTGCTTGAGTATAAAATCCAGTGCTGATGTGAAATAATCAGCCCATGTATACTGGATGCCACTGTATATAAGACTTTACCGTAGTGACATGTGGGTCTGGCAAGCAAATATAACAAAGATTACAACAGAAATAAAAACCACATCCTCCTCCCTTCTCCTAAACACACAGAACCTTAAGAAATCTGTGCTTGAGGACATCTCCTCAAAGAGTGTCCCCTTAGGGTGACCAGCACCAGAGTCACCTGAGGAGCCTACTGAAAATCCAGATTCTTTACCTAGGGCCTACAAGTTCGAACACATAGTCAGTAATGCACAATTTTGAAAAAAATTTCAGTGATTCTTTTGGATGGTAGAAGTTTTGAACCTTTAAAACTTCAGAATAGCTAGTCTAATGGAAGAGACACAGCCGCACTGTTCAGAGGCAGCTTCATCTAAACGGGAAGAGTACAACTCAGCAACGTAGGAGGATGTAAGTAAGTGTGAGCAGGAATCCATCTATTAGGCAATTCACTGTGATTCTTTTGGAATAATTGCCAATCCCACAGCCACCTTGCTGACTTCGACATCTCTGTGGTGCTTAATCCACATCTCATTTGCCATGTTCACATGACAGTTGCTTCCCAAGCAGCAATCAAGAAGTTGAGGCTGCTGGATCAGCTTCAAGTTCCCCAATCAAGAGTCTCAATTTCAGTCCGTGGAAGCAACTGATAACAGAGAAGCCTACCAGGGCCTGAGTTGTAGCACCCTTCATTAATTACCTAAATGGAAGGTGAGATTTCACTTGGACGAGGGCTGGCACCAAATTATGCTGCAGCCATTTCCAGTTGGCTCATAAGTCAGAGGCTGCAGCCAAAAAGAATTTTAGAATTGGAAGGAGTCATGTTTCTAACCAACAGCAAATTTTATGAAATCCCATCCCTGTTTGGTAATTACTAGGCTATGACAATTAATTTCTTGCATTGGATTAAAACCCATTCAGAGCTAGATGGATGATGTTTTAGTCTGGTAAAATGAATTGTACTTCATTTTACCTGTGTAGAGCTATCAGCAGATGGAAAATTATAAGCTGAACAAAAAAATGGTTCATCAGAAATGTCCAAGCACAGTTATACCTAAATGGCCTTCAGATTCTCTTTTAAAAATAGGCTTTTACTGCCTCTTAGTAGGCTGAAATTCTTAAAAACCTTATTTGAAAAAAATCAGAGGCATTCAGCTTCTATGCTAAGAACACAGAATTAGTTAAAATAGGTTATCTAATTTCCAAAAACTTGAAATGTAGAAACTGAGATCTGCAAACCTTATAAATAAGAGGATGGTTACTTATTACAGACAAGCTGGCTTTCTCCCCAGTCCTTGTTCCCACAGATGCATTCATTAAGCAATTTCCCTGCTGGATCTTGGAATAATGCATTTAGGGCGACTTTAAGGACCCCCTCGTATTACCACACCATACTCTATACTCCATTCAAGCTAAAGCCAGTAAGAACAACATGTATTGAGCTGTTAGTTGTTATAAGCAGCACTTTCCATACTTGTATCAATTTGTTACATCCTCTCAGCAACTCTTTAAGCAGGCCCTGTTTCCTTCTGCATTTTATTTAGGGGAAACTGAGACATAAAATACCTACTTAACTTTCACAGGATCATTGCATCAATTATCTATATCTGTGTGGCAAGCCACTCCAAATCTAGTAGAGTAAAACAATAGTGCTCACTTCAGCAGTACATATACTAAAATTGGAACAATCCAGACAAGATTAGCATGGCCCCTGTGCAAGGATGACATGAAAATTAGTGAAGTGTTCCGTTATTTTTTTCAACCAACAACAAATGCTGGTGGAGCGGTCCGAGGGAATGTAGACTGGTGCAACCACTGTGGAAATCAGTATGGGGATACATCAAACAATGAGGATTGGAGGTTCTATTTGATCCAGCTATTCCCCTGCCAAGTATCCTCCCAAAAGAATTAAAAGAATCACACCAAAGCGATATATGTGCACCCAAGTTTATAGCGGCACAATCTGTAAAAGCTAAAACTTGGAAACAGTCCAACTGCCCATCAGCTGGAGAGTGGATAAAGAAAATGTATTTTTTTATAAAATGGAGTACTACTCAGCCATAAAGAATGAGAAGCTAGAGACATTTATAGCTAAATGGAAGCAAATTGAGGCCATACTCATAAGTGAAGTAAGACACAAATGTGTAAATACCAAATAGTTTCTCTGGTATAAGAAACTGAAAGTGTAGATAAGGATCAAAATGTATAATAGGTAATGTGAAATAGGAAGAAAAGGTACAAACGAGAAGGGGAGGTGGGAGGGGTAGGGGAAAAGAAAGAAAGGAATAAGTATGAGAAAAGGCAAAAATAGATACAAAGTTTTGTAAAAGGGGAGGGGTGGAGGGGTTGAAAGGAGGGTAGTGGAATGGGGAAAAAATAAGAACCAAGATATATCAGGTAAAAGCACAGATTCCCAATGGTGAATGTCACCATATTGTATACCTAAAATGTACTAGTAAAAGTAATAAATGAAAAACCCATAACGATTTGGTGGCTCATAATTCTGGGCTCAGGATGGTTCCGGTCCTGGATGAGCAGTCTCTACCACCTGTACTCAGATGCCCATCAGATTTGCAGTATTAACTGGGTTCACGTTATATGATTACACTGTTTCATCTCTGTTTCTTCAAGTTAATACAATTCCATTAACACGGCAGCTAGGTTACCGAGGAAGGAAGCTGCAGAATGCAAGGCCTCTGGAGCTACAGCCTAGATGCCGAGACTGGGCAGTGCCACAACCCTGCCCCATTTCTATGCCCACAGAATATCACAAGGGACCCAGATTGGAGGGGTAGAAAACAGGTGCTTCCCCTTGATAGAAAGGACTCCGAAGTTACATTCCAAGTGGTGAAAATATGAGGCGGTGTGGAGGATTTAGGCCGTTGCTCCCATCCGTCTACCCTGTTACATACCTGGTCAGTCACAGAGGCAGCATTCATACCTCCATCCTCTGACTCCATATCAAGCCTCCTGACCTCTTTGGCATGCTACCTTCATAACAAGGATTTCTCTTCCTTCCCTAACTGGATCTTAACTTTACATTTGAACAGAGTCTCTGCTTTAGTTAACTTGCTACGATTCCTCCAGGTACTGAGATTGGTCTGAGTTTACTCTTCTCCTCAATGTCATTCTGCATTTGAAGGCTGCTGCTTTAAAAGGCCTACTCAAAGACGCCTCTCTTCTTGTCACGGCTACATCTTGTGGTGGTCCAAACTCTCTTCTCTGCCCAGGCTGCTCATCTCCACAGGTGATGAAATTCCTTGTGCAGACTGCCCCATCACGTCTCAGGACCTCTACTCTTTGCCCAGAAGTTTGGTTTGCTGCACTTGTCCACTGCTAAGCAGCTTCCACAGCCTTCCACTTTGAAAAATCATCCACCGCAGCATTTTTCTAAATGACAAGTGCTACCTGCTGTTTAGAACAGTTAGAATTCCTAAAACCCAATATGCAAAAGTTCTGAAATACATCTGTTGCAGAAAGAGTTACTTCTAATAGGCTAGGGTTTTAGCTCAGAGGCACTGTGCTTGCCTTACAAATCAAGGTCCTAGGCTCAAACCCCGGTACCAGAAAAAAAAAAAGAAAAGTTACTGCTATTAGTCTAACTGAAGATTCTTCTCTATTAGAGGCCAAGGATTGTGATGAGCCAGTACCCGGCCCTAATTACTCTTTCTTCCATATCACACTAGACCTGCCTGTATACCCTGCCCAGAAACATACTGGGGCTATGAATCACATGGCTGTAACCACTGCACAAGGAACTTCACTCTCTTAAAATAGTGCCTCACACCAAGACTTGTATCTGTAGTGGATGTATTTGACTCTTAGTTTCAGAAATGGTCATCAATAAAATGCTAGAGCCATTGAGACAGTGCAGAGCCATAGTCAGTCAAAACACTTATATGGGTGTTATCTATCACCTGTGATGAACAAGTTCCTTATTCAGCACCTATTTACTAATCTGCACACCAATCATTAGACAGTGGCTCATGTTTGAGCTGCTTTGGACATCTTCTGATTCCAAAACTTTGTTCAGCACCTATTAGAAAACACTGAAGTAGCGGAATGTGAATACAAAATAGAACCTTGAATTGATCCAGAAGAATCAGTAGGATGTTCATAAGAACATTAGCCTGCAGCATGACCATGGTGGAGCGGATGGGACTATGCACGAACTGCCACGGTGCAAGTGTTCCAGAGGGAAGATAAGAGAAGGCATAGATACTCTAAGCTGTCACATCGAAACTGTCATCATGTCCCCTGATAACGCCCAGCAGCATGCACAGTACTGCAGGTAAAGACTCTGAATGCTTCTCATCGGTCAGATTGCAGTCGCAGATAACAGAATTCCTATGCCTCGGCATTTTTTAATTAATTATTTTTATTGGCACATTTAAGGTGTAATGTAATGACATGCATTATTGGAAATTTGTACCTTTACATAATCCATCTTGGTTTTCATTTTTCCCCATTCCCCTGCCTGCCCTTCAACCCCTCCACCCCTCCCTATCTACAAAGACTTTGTTTCCATTTTTCCTTTTTCTCATGTTAACTCCACTCCCATCTTTCTTTTCCCTTACCCCTCCCAACTCCCCTTTCTCTTTGCACCTTTTTTTTTCCTATTTCACTTTATATATTATACCTTTTAGTCCTTATTTACACTTTGAGCTTCTCACACTAGAGAAATTATTCAGTATTTACACATATGTGTCCTATTTATTTCACTTAAGAATATGGCCTCAATGTGCATCCATTTAGCTATAAATGTCTCTATTTTCCCATTCTTTATGTCTGAATAGTACTCCGTTTTATTAACACACACACACACACACACACACACACACACACACACATTTTCTTTATCCATTCTCCTGTTGAAGGGCAATTGGGCTACTTCCAAGTTTTAGCTATCACGGATTGTGTTGCTATAAACATGGGTGCACTTATATCACTGTGGGATGATTCTTTTAATTCTTTGGGGAAGATACCCAGCAGGGGGATAGCAGGTCAAATGGGACCTCCAATGCTAGTTCTCTGAGGCATCTCCGTACTGATTTCCACAGTGGTTGCACCAGTCTGCACTCCCACCAGCAGTGGAGCAGGGTTCCTCTTTCCCTCCAGCCCCTCCAGTATTTGTCATTGGTTGATTTCATGATAGCAGCCATTCTTTCCGGGGTGAGGTGGAATCTCAGTGTTGTTTTCATTTGCATCTTTTGAATAACCAGTGATATTTTTAAAAAACAGACTACATCTACCACTTTTTCCAACATATGGATAGTATACTTTAAAAAAAAAACAACTGTTAGATTTTCATTTATCCTGTGTACTGCCATATAATTGATCTATCTGGGTTTGGGATGTCATGCTGCCTTTCTATTTCTACCCTCTTGTTCAAAGATGTTAATTATTCTGCTAAATAAATCATAACGTTTCATCCACGGATAGTGCACTGACCTACATCTAGAAATTCCTGTAGCATCAATCAAAGGCATAATTCCAAATATTTGCATCCGAAAACCTCCTTAATCTAAGGCATATCACGACAAATACTTTCTATATTTAGAGCACAGGTTAAGGATTGACTGTGGCATTAGAAATCAAGGGCTTGTGTGGAGATGCCCTCATATAATGGAGAACGGAGAGATGTATTGCAATAACCACATCAATTGCATAGCTGAAGGTGGAAACATCTGATATCACTTGGGTGGTAAGATCCGCAAACATTCTTGCTTTTCCCTATTTTTCCTTCTGTTTTAGACATAGGCATTCAGAAGTTAAGTAGCTGTCATAGGAATTCATAATAACATGCTTTTTTCTCTTTTTTGCTGGGTGGCACAGTAAAATATATTTGTCTTTATGACTTCCACATAGTAGTTAAATACATAAAAGAACAAAAACTGTCTAGATGGCCATACGTAGCTTAGGAAACAACTGGTCCCAGTTCAATTGTACGAATGTTCATTCAGCTTAGAAATGAGTTTCTTTTTAATGGTTTTAATCTTTTTTTTTCTGGTCCTTAAGGTTTGCACAGTTCAGTAGAAATGTTTTTGCCATTTTTTAAATCCTGAGGCTCATGATGTTTGCCAATTCTTGGGATACAAATGAAATCAACACAAAGTCCAATAACAACAGAGTACAATTTCATAGAAATAAATTTGATGAGCTCATTACAAGTTTGATTCAGTTTAGCTAACAGACCTACACATGAAGCATGAAACAGTATTACATTACATTTGTATTAAGGTTTCATTTCATTTAAAACATTTATCACATATTTTTGTGCAAGGGTTCCATTGATTCCTTTGGTTTTAAACATTATAGCTCTGTTTGGTCTAAATATATAGGTAGTTCTATTTGTAGCAAACATCAAAAGTCAAAATTTTAAAAGGTAAAAATGGAACTACTTCTTCAATACAAAAAAATGTGCAGCCTATTTTGGTGCTACTGTTATTATTGCTTTTCTGCTATTGGAAAGCTATCCTGGAAATCAAGGAATGTACCCCAGAGCTCCTTGCTTGAAGTATAATTTGGTTGTACATTATTATTTGTTAATATGTCCCTACCTTCACCAAAGCTGTTTGATTTTATCTTTTAAAAACAGGTGAAATAACATAAATAAATAAGCCTACCTAAGGGAATACAATAAATAGGCTTCCAGATAGGAATAAAGAATATTGTGACATAAAGCCGATCAGTGCTGTACAATTAAACAATAGCTTTGGACCTTTAAGGTCTCTAAATATAGCCTTCATTTTAGAA